GGCACACACAGACACAGGGTCAGGGACAGCGGCACACACAGACACACGGTCAGGGTCAGGTCTCCGCCTCACGGCCGGGCCGCCCCACCCCGCCCGCCCCCAGCACCGCCCAGGCCCGCGGGTCCGGCGGCACCGCGCGAGGGGAGCCCGCGGAGCCGGGGAGGGCGGAGAAGGTACGGGAACGGCCCGGCCAGACCGGGGGAGGCGGAAAGCACGCCTCAGGGGGAGCCCCAGCACCTCAGGGGGACCCCCAGCGCCTCAAGGGTGCCTCAGTGCCTCAGGGGACCCCCCGCGCCTCAGGGTTCCCTCAGCACCTCAGGAGCTCCCGTGCCTCAGGGGAACCTCCCGCGCCTTAGGGTGTCCCTCCGCTCCTCACAGGGCTCCCCAGCGCCTCAGGGGGACCTCAGATGCCCCAAGGGGACACTCGTCTGCCTCTGGGCTTGCCCCGTGCCTCAGAGGAAGCCCCCGCACCTCGGGGGTCCCTCAGTGCCTCAGGGGTCCCTCAGGGTTGCACCTCAGGGGAGTCCCAGCGTCTGAGGGGCTCCCGCGCCTCGGGGCACACTCCCCTCCGGCAGCTCGGGGGGTCCCTTCGCTCCTTACAGGGCTCCCCAGCACCTCAGGGGGACCCCAAGTGTCTCAGGGGGACCCTCCTTTGTCTCTGGGGTTTCCCCCGTGCCTCAGGGGTCCTGCAGTGCCTCAGGGACAGCCCGCGCCTCAGCACGCGGCTCCCGCCCCTCAGGGAGTCCCTCCGGAGCCGTCCCTCCGCTCTTCACAGGGCTCCCCAGTGCCTCAGGGGAACCCCCCGCACCTCAGGGGGACCCCAAGTGCCTCAGGGGGACCCTCCTCTCCCTCTGGGGCTTCCCCGCTCTTCAGAATAACCCTGGCGCCTCAGGGGTCTCTCAGTGTCTCAGGGGTCCCCCAGTGTCTCAGGAGTCCCTCAGTGTCTCAGGGGTCCCTCAGTGTCTCAGGGGTCTCTCAGCACCTCAGGGGTCCCTCAGTGTCTCAGGGGTCTCTCAGTGTCTCAGGGGTCCCTCAGTGTCTCAGGGGTCCCTCAGTGTCTCAGGGGTCTCTCAGTGTCTCAGGGGTCTCTCAGCACCTCAGGGGTCCCTCAGTGTCTCCAGGGTCTCCTGCGCTTCAGCCCCACCACCTCTTCCTTCCCCCCGTGCCTCAGGGGGACCCCCCCAGCCCCTCAGAGGTGCCTCAGCCCCCTGCACCTCAGGGACCCCCAGTGCCTCATGGCAGCATCAGGTGCTGCCATGCGAGGGGCAGGACCTGGCCCTGTATGGGACACAGCCACTCAAAAAAAAACCCCAGAGACACCCCGAAAACAGACTTTTAACCCCATCTTTGGAACCATGGCATCTTTTAGGGGCTGTGGTGCCTCAGATCTCCAACATCAGGCACGAGGGGAAGGGCTGAGGGGGCAAAGTCCTGCGAGGATGGGGTTACCTGAGAGTGAGGTATTAAATTTTCCCATTTAATATTAATTTTCTGATATTTGGTGATAAAGTGGCTGCTGAGTGGTTGAGCACTGGAGTTCCAGGGTGCCTTCTGTCCCCTCCAGCCCAGGTAAGACACTGATGCTGAAGTCTTGTACCTGAACGGCCAGGCCAGAGTGGATCATCTCAGTCTAGGTGATGTTTCCTCTGCAGTAAATCAATATTAAGTATGGTATGGTTTAGAAAACATGTTTTCTTATCTCTTTGTTTCACTTAAATCAGCTCTATTTAGCTAATAACCTCACATCGTAATAACACATTTGTCTGCCTTGATTGCATTCCAGTCCTGCTCGCAGTGCCTGGGTAAAAAAAGCTACTTTGCTAAAATATTTAACACATTAAAAATTTTGCAGGTGTGTATTTGTTTAAATATACTTTTATAGCCGTAATCTGTCCTCATTACTAATTGAAGCACTAAATTTAGCATAAAAGCTGTCACCATGTTTCAATCAACATGTCTTAATGACTGCCAACAAATGGAAATGAGGCTTCCATGGGAAAAAAAGCACAAAAGGTACAAATGCAGAACAGGGTTGGATCAGCTGAGTTAATAAAAGCCCACTGCTGGCTGCGTTAGGTCAGGATTTAAATCAACCCCCTGTGTTTATGCTATTATTTTGATTGTTACTGGGAATATCGACTGGCTGTGGACTCTGGTGACCTGTTGGTGGTGTTTCCTGTCATTAACATCCCCTGTTAGTAACGAGATGTGGAGATCTCCCAGTGAGTCATTTTTCAAAGCAGTAAACGCATGCCTTGTTAATTCCAGCTAATGGAAGTTTTTAATCAGGGTGTCAGGTGGTGCTAAATCAAGCTCCTCACCCGAGTGCGAAATGTGGAATGTCCACATTATTGCCTGTATCAATCAGCTCCCCATTCCTGTAAAAAGAATATTTTCCTCTTCAATCCAGGCTTGTCTAACAGGCTTTCACTGAAACTATTTGGACTTCTCTCTTTTTTTTTTTCCCCTTTTTTTTCTCCTTTCAAGGTGTCCCAGAAGACTCATTCCTTTATTCCAGCCAACACTGTTGTTAGTGCTTTTCCTGCTTACCCTTGCTAAAATATTACCTACTATTGGCAGGCCTCCAGTTCTTTCACATTCCCCCTTCACAGTTTTTAATGGTTGTGGGAATTAACATTTGTGGTTTGGAATATGAGAAATGCATTTTGAAGTGACTGACACCAAGTGCAGTCGTGGCCCTGAATTTCAAACACTATCGATCATTTGGCAGTGAACGGGGAGTTTTCGTGCTCTGCAGACTCAGTGCCATGGAGTCCCTTGGCTTGCTTTGCTTTAGCTGTCCTGGCTGGCAGTTAGCTTTCAGACCTGAATAACCTGAAGAATCTCATTCTTAGTTTAAGAAATATGAGAAACAGCAAAAACTGTTTTTTCCAGGTGTCTCATATCTTCTTTATTTTTCAGCGTTTAGTTACAAGTGGAAGGCAGGTCTTTGAAATACAGGATGGCTACTCAGCAGCTAGTCAGGCAAAAGAAGAAGTCCTCTAAGGTAAAAACCCTTAATTATGATGGTACTGACAACCTTAGCTCTCCGTTTGGGACCTGGCACTCCTGTGCCTGTGGAGGGAGGTGGGAGCACTTTCTGCTGTCTGCACTGTTCTTAGTTGGATTATTTCCAATTCAGTGAGAAACAGCGTGGGGCTCTGCCGTGGTTTGACTCAATAAATACAGGCTCATTAGGTGTGCACTGAGCTTTATTAGCAGGAAGAACAGCAATAAACTAATAAAAGAACTTAATTTAGTGTAGTGTCCGCTGCATTGTTCATGTCAACATCACACAGTGTGTATTTACAGTAGCTCCAGGTGCAGCCATGTGCTGTTCACTGCTCAGAGTTAAAATCACTCTGAAACCTGGGGGTGTGCAGCGCTGGCAGCTCAGGCTGCTGTCAGAGCTCCCAGGCAGCTGTGGCAGTTGGCACAGCACAGTTGGCGTGGCCTTTGGTACAGCAGTGAGTGCCACACCAGCCCTGGCACTTGGGTGACTCTGCAATTACAACTACACACTTTTTCTAGGGGTGGTTGTCTGGTGAGTGCCAGCGTTGGTGCAGTGGAAGGGGTGAGAATGTGGTAAAGGGGAAAGTATGTCCAGCCAGTGCAGTCTGCACCTAAATAATGATCTGATGATCACTATCCTAAAAACAATCCCACCCACCTTAGGCACGATTCTTCCCTGTGCAGCTTAAAAGACCAGAGAAATGTTAAAATGACATTTTTAAGTTACCCTCTCTCCACCTGCTGTGAGTTGTTTCTAAATATAGTCCCTGTTTTCACTACAGTGGTGCTATTTTGGCCTTGCCCTCCTCTTGCAGGAAGCAGTGCTGTTCCCTGATGCCATGGCCACGGAGCCGCAGTCTCTGGTGCTGGTGAAGAGGCTCCTGGCCATCTCCGTGTCCTGTATCACCTACATGAGGGGGCTGTTCCCAGAGAGCTCCTACGGAACCCGCTACTTGGATGGTAACACCGTTTGTGCTGCATTCTTATTTCTGCTCGCTCTCTTTTAGCTGTAATCTGCTTGTTTGTTAGGGAGTTGGCCACAGGCCTTCTCAAGTCTGGGTGGAGACAGTGCTTCTGAGAGAGAGCACGGAAGACCTAAAACTCCTGGCTTTTCTGTCAGTGTTTCTCTTCTTTTGAAGTCATTCCTTGGCATTGCCAACCCTATGAGTGAGTGACACAGGGGAGTGACTTAAAAATCAGAATTTTAAAAAAAATTAACTCTGATTCCAATCATGGCCAGTCTTTGTGAACGAAGATTTGGGAAAGGTCTTTACCCTTCGAGCCTGCGCAGTGGATTTTTTAGGTGAGACGCAGCGTGCACTGAGCTGAGCCCACCCTTTAATCCTAAGGTTCATCTGCCAGGGCCAAGTGAGCTTGGACAGTGGCAGTGAGGTCCTCAGGACGTAGGTTTGTTTATTGTGTTTTATTTTCCTTTGGATTTTTGAACCCTCAAGGTTCACACTGAGATTCTCTTGTGAGATTGAAAGTGCATTTTCCACCTTGAATGCCTGGAAACACAGTAGAAGGAGCTGTGTGGAAAATCTTAACAGAAGTAGTTTATTCTGAGCACAGTCATTTACCTCATACGGATGTTGGCGGAGTCTGAATGCAGAAGGGAAGGTGTTGTTAGGGAATGGTGGGATAGGATGGAGTGGAGAAGAGGAGGGAGGAGAGGATGAAGCTGCTGGTGTTTTGAAATTGAGCTGTAACTTCAGCTCTTCTTCCGGGAGAGCCCTCAGAGCAAATGCAGCAATGAGCTTGTGTCAGCCCAGCTGGGACTCAGTGGAAACCCAACATTTCCGCTCAGGAAGGACCTCCAGATAAAGCATTTTATCCAAAAAAGGGGGGGTGACAGGCTTAGTTTCAGTGTTTGCCCAAGAGCTGTGATAAGGATTGTAACCACGTGTTAAATCTGTTTTTGCAGACCTGTGTCTAAAAATTCTCCGCGAAGATAAAAGCTGTCTGGGATCATTGCAGATAGTCAAGTGGTAAGTGAGTAACAGTGAAACCAAGACAAGACTGTGCTGAGCATGGAGACATCTGCCCCTGCATTCTTCTTCTTCCTGAACTGGAAAACATCGTGCCCGGTAGCGCTGCCGGTGCCAGGGGAGCTCCCACTGCTGCGGGGGGTGCTCGGCCCTGCGTAAGCAGGACAGAATTAGCTGACCCACATCATGTGAGTTCAAGGTCTGTGGAAGTGTTGGCTGCAGTGAGGTCATGGTCAGGCCCCAGAGCACACGCAGCAGTGGAGGTACAGAGAGAGGGTTGAGACAGTCATGAGATCGATCCTGTTGTTGTTTAGTCTTATCTGGTTTCACTTTGATAGGGATTCTTGCACTTGTTTTTCAGTATGTGCAGTATTTTTTTCCTATAAGTACCCCCCAGGTTTTCTTCAAGATGTGTTCAAGAGTTGGCACATTCCCAGCAAGCAGAAAAACTGACTTTGATGTGCTAAGGAGATACCTCGCTGCACATCCTTTCACTCCAAGAGCAAATATCTGGCTATTGCTACTTCAAATAATATTTACTGCTTTGAGAAAATCCATTGCTGTAAACTATGCATCAGATAACAAAGATTTACAAGACCATACATGTTCAGATTCAGCCAAGCTCTGTACAAGGCTGATGGGAAAAGAGCCATCAGAGCTCTGGCTGGGGAGCTGGAACAGAGCACTGAGCAGGGAACCACTTTGGCCTCCAGTCCTTGTCTTTGTCAGGATTCAAGTGGGCTCTGGTCTGACAGGATAATATCCCAGAAGTATAAACAGTGCACAAATGCAGAAGGAAGGACAGTGCCTTCAGGGCTGACCTGAAAAGGACTGTGCAAACCCCAAATGTTGTCAGTTGTGTTGTCCTAATTCCAGAAAAAAATGCCCTTTAACCCGTATCTAATGAGTGTGTGTTTACAGATCAGGAGATAAATACTGCTGGTTAGTATTAACTTGTTTTTTCCCTGGCAGGATTCAAGGTTGTTTTGATGCTTTGGAGAAGCAGTATGTAAGTTTTTCTTCACATTTTTTACTGGAGTTTCCTATTTCTTCGTAAACTATTGACAAAACTATCTTTCTGCTGTATTTCTGTTACAGTCTCTCATGCACACAACACATCTTTATGGCCACGGGACAGGGGGGAGACCCTGCCCTGAGTATGAGATTTGGGATTTTATGCCTTGAGCCCAAATATTGACCACTGTTGCTGTCTAGGCTCATCTGTCCATGGTGTGGTAACTAATTTGCAGCTTGCAATGGATTTCCCTCAGTTCTGTGCTCTACATTTGTGTTCTCTAACGTCTGATAGAGGCACTGCCAGGCAGAGCTGAGATCTTGATCTCCTGCCCTGTTTTCTTGACAGAGGTTCTGTGCTTCTGCTCTCCTTCATCTCCTTTCCCCTTCTGCTCATCTTCTCTAACCCTCCTGGCTTTTTTCTTGGGCTCAGAATTTACTACTTTTTTGGGGAAAGTAATTCATCCAGTGAGGTGCGCAACCGGTTCCAGGACAAAACCAGTAGCAAGAAATCATATTCCTTGCTGATTCTCCCATAAAATCTGCTCTGCACAGGAGAAAACACCAGCTGCTGTCATCTCTGTCAGCAGTGTTCATCAGCACAGCTCCTCCAGCTCGGATGGAGTGCTGGTGGTTGTGGCACTGATGATCTGGTGGGCTCTCAGACGTCAGTACGACTGTCAGTGTGCACAGGGTAATTCACAACGTTGTGAACGCAGTGTAGTGCTTGCTGACAGCTCTAGGAGGTCCTTTGCTATTTATGAGGCATAAATTAATTGTTGTTTGACAAGGATTAGGGAAAACCTGAGGTATTTAATGGGTATTTTCAAATTGTTTTCAAGAGCAGTCCCATGTACGTTTCCTTGCTCTAGCATAAATATCTTTGGAGAGCTTCTCAGAGGAGAGCAAATATTGGTCGTCAGTGGAGATAGGTACTCTTGCAAAAGGGTTTTAAATCAGCACAGCCTTTGGGGATTTGTTTAAAAGGAGCCCCGTGGGAGCAGGCTGAGCATGGAGCTGTTTTTTGGGGAACTGCAAGTAAAGCCAGACGAACTGGCCACTAGGTGTTGCTGATGCAGTGCTGGGAAGAATCTGCAAAACGGGTTTTAACTCCTCGTTCGTTGAGTGTATCTATTCCTTTGCCCTGTGTAGGCAGTTAGGTTTTGATAGGACTTGCTTTTCTTTGCCCGCTGAGGTTAGATTTTCATTATGTGTTTTGTTTTACTTTTCCCTCCTCAGCTACGCATGGCTGTCCTTGCAGTAAGTAGATGAATACAAAGTAGTTTTCTTTCCCCTCCCCTGCTTGAAAGAGATACAGAGTCAAGGTTGTGTCAAACCATTTGTGCCTTTTTTAAGGAGAAGCCAGAATGTGTATGATTTTTAATAGAGCTATGACCTTTATCAAATATGGTGTGAAGTTCAAGGCTGTGTGGGGATGTTTTTCTCAGCATGTCCCACTCCTGACTGAGGCCTCACATGCATCCTTAGACTCTGAGAAGCACTTTCATGTGATTCCTGTCATGGAAGCTCCTCTTCGTTTCCCCCTGCAGAAGTGTCCTTACTAATCTGATCCTGGACAAACCACACACTGGTGGTTCCAAGACAGCCATTGGCCCTGACCCTCTGTAAAGCTCCAGGAGCTTTCTCTGTGTCTACTCTGTGCATCATCTGAGCAGTTAAATCTCAGTCAGTAGTTCCCTGTGAGGGTTGGAATGGGAATTAGCCTCATTCCTCCACAATTGCACATTAGTTGTCTTCTACCTGTCTTTGAAGTGGTAAGTATTGCCTGCTGATAGAGGAAAGCTGTTTCTCAGCCATTCCTTTCTCTGATCCCACGCTAAAGATAGTCCAGTCTCTGCTGTAAACTGAAAATATCATTGTTAGTCACTGGTTCAAGTTGTCCTGGGGAGAATGCCCTCACTGTGCTTTCTTGTAACAGATTTACACCAATCCCAAGGAACCGGAGGTAAGAAAGAGTCTTAATTAATCTTTGAGGCAACTGCAGCCATGGGTGAGTAGATCTGTATTCAGAGTGGAGTCGTGGGCTGAAGTTCCACCCTGATGTAGCTGCTCGGTGACCTCGTTTCTGTCCTTGTGCCTTCACTCCAGAGTGCCAGCTCAGTGAGCTGGATGGGGATCAAACACCAGGCACCAGGCTGTGGGCCCACCAGGGCCTCAGGCAGGGGTGTCAGCAGGCAACTAATGGCCATGTTTGCCCTTTTGGTTTAGTTTCCCAAAGAGAAAGAATGAGAAGTTCAAAATAATTCATTTATGAGCCACCTTTTTAACAGCCCTGGTGAAAAGAGCCGTGTTGTCGTGCAGAGAGGTGTAGGACTGAAGTCAGGAATCCCTTCAGACCTGGATGGATGTGCTGTGTACTGCCTGTCCTTGTCCTTTTGGTGTTCCCTGTTGTGTTTCTGTTTTGTTACATCTGTCTGGGGGATGCAGATGGGGGGTGTGATCCCTAGTGAGGGTCTGCATCCATGCTGGAGATCAGAAAACAGCTGTAGCCTCTTCGCACCTGAACCTGGTTCCAGTTCTGCTGTGTGTCACCTCAGCATCTGGGGACAGAGCAGGAGTTTAGTTGTGCCAAGACTGGGATTTGTAAGGAAGGCTCAGACTTAAAAGCACAGCTGAGCTCCTACTAATCAACCTCGTTGTCTCTGGAAAAAGTGAATTATAGGCATGGAATTGGTCTACAATAGATCCTTTCTCCTGGGGGGGAAGCTGTCTGTTCTTCCTAATTGTTTTATTCTTTAATCCTTTTAAATGGAAAATCATTTTGTTTTTTTGTCTCCCTCAAAAAAAAACTTCTGAGACCGGTGAAATTCAGCAACTGTTTCCCATGCAATATTGTTTGAATTTCCTTGTGGGAAGAGTCCTCTAGACCTTTGTGTCCCTACAGAGCACTGGGCCAGGCTTCCTTATGACACTGATCACCCGTGCAGCTCCCAGTTTTCCTTAACAAGGGAGTGTTGGCTGGTCCTGGAGCCTCACCAGAGACTGAGGCTGGGGAGTCAGGCCCACGGAGGAAGTGGAAGGAGGAAGCAGGAAGTTTGTAATTTTGTTGTGATTCTTTCAGTGCTAGGTGAGATGTGGTTGTTAAGAAAATTTACCAAAGCCCGTGCAAGCAATAATGGGGTTAAAGCTGTCATCATGTCATTAAGTTAATGCTGTGCTCTGGCAGAGAGTGTGAAAGGACTGCTGAGCTCAGGACACATCTTTACCCTTGTTACTCAAAGTGACCCATTTTTGCTTTTCCCTTCTCTTGTTACCTCTCTAGGTAGTGACTGAACTGTACCAATTCAAATTCAAGTATAAAAAGCAGGTGCCACAGATGGACATCAGCAGGTAAAGGTTTGGGTTGGTTTCTCAGGGTTACACTGAAAACTGGTTATGAAGCATTAAAAAGCCACACTTTATGGTTGCCCAGAGAAGCTGTGGACTCCCCATCCCTGGAAGTGTCCAAGGCCAGGTTGGATAAACTTGGAGCAACCTGGTCTAGTGGAAGGTGTCCCTGCTAATGGCAGAGGGTGGGAGGAGCTGAGCTTTAAGGTCCCTTCCAACCCAAACCATCCTGTGGTTCTGTGGTTCGAGCATGTCCAAGTTGCTGAGCAGCTGTAAATACCCTCAGAGCTGAGGATATTCGCCCTGCAGGATGCAGCCTGCTGGGAGGATGAGTCGAAACGAGGTTATGTAGCATCATGAGGCCCTCCAAGGGCACCCGGGCTGAGCTCAGGACAGTTGGTAGCAGCGGTGCCTCATCAGGGGGTGATGCAGAAACCAGCACAGTTCCTGAGCTTGCTGCTGTCTCAACTGATTCTTCCATTTTCACCACACAGCCTCGTGCTTTCAAAGGGTTTGATCCCTTTTTGTCCCCATGATCCTGCACCCAGGGTTTTTTCCCTTGGACATTTGCATACATGTCTTCTGCTTGAGCAGCCCTGCGTGGGTGACCCGAGAGAACTTTCGCTTATGATGCCTGAGTTGATGGTGCAAAACGTGTGGCAGGAAGCAGCAGCTCTTTGCCTCTTTTTGCCACTCTCTGTTAGATATTTAAAGCTGTGCTTAGTAGGCCACAATCCTGTGGAGTTTCAAATAAATACTATCAAAGGCCGTTGGCTGCAACCAAAGCAAAAAAAAGAAAAAAAATAATTGACCTGTTTTCAGTTTATTCTGCAGTTGCCATTGGTGAAATCTTTGGGCCTGGAAACCTGCCTGTACAGCAAGAGAGCTCTGCTGTCTTGTGTGCTCCTCAGGAAGCTCCTCTGCTGTACTCCTGGAGGCTGCCTTTAGCTGCTCTCTCTCGAAACACATCCAAATAATTTCTAGTATAAGGCAAAATGATCTTCTGTTGGCAGAATCTGAATTATCTCAGTGTGGAGTGTCCTGCTGGCTGTGCCCTCTGTTTCTGCTCTGAAGCTCCATTGTCCTCACTACACTGAGGGGAAGAGGAGATTTGGGATTTGAAAGATAATAGATGGCCCTTGAGTACTTTGGGTTTTAATCAGCCTTACTCATTAGTTCCCAGAGATAAGGACAGTCCCCAAATGGAGCTCAGCATCCCTCGGAGTCCATCTTGCTGGCCAGGCAATCTTGGTGTTATGTTTGTATGTGCTCTGAGGTTCCAGAGCCCAGGGCACCAGATTCCTGGGCTCTGCTGTGTTTCCTCAGGGACTGGCAGTGCCCTGGCAGGCTCCTGCATGTCCCTGCAGTCCTTCGTAATCCGATGTTCTGGCACGGACCAGAGAATTGTGTCATCTTTGCTGTCAGCTCCCTCGGCTGATAACACTGCCTTTTACACCTGCAGTGCTTGCTGTCATGTGCAAACCTGGAGTTAATCATTCCAGGAGAGAGGTTTTGTGGGTTTGCATCATCACATCCGAGGGATAAGGGGAAGTGTTCCCCTAAATGGTCTTTGCTTTATTTTATATGGATTTTAGAGGAATTCTTGCCATAGATCCCTGTCCTTCCAAGGTTCAGTTCCTTCTGCTTCTTGACACACTCCTGCATCAAATTCACAGTGTTATTCCTGTATTGAATCAGTCCTTGACCTGTTAATTCCTATGGAAGTCTCATTTCTTTTTTTCTTGTGATCTTTCCCCTTGCCATTTCTGATCTGCTAATCCCACAACTTGTAAAGGTGATGGATATTCCACCTTAGGCACTGCCAGCATTTCCCTCTCACTTGCTGTACATTTCTGAACATACAGGATTTAATCTAAGACCACAGTGCACATCTAATACCTTGGAGTTTTGCTGTTGACAGTTCAGAGTCTGCCAAACCGTCCCCTGTGTCTGTCAGCAGTTTGACTTGATGATCTTAGAGGTCTTTTCCAACCTAAATGATCCTATGATTCCATACTCTGGGAAGTCAAGCCACTGTGTTTTCATGACAAGCCAAGAAGCTTCAGCTGGAAGGGGGAATCTGTCTTAATGAAGCTGTTCTTTGCTGTGGTTCAGTCAGATTCAGCCCTGGGACCCTCTGCTCTCTTGGGTCACTCCCTGCTTTTGAAGCAGTTTGGGGGATTGCCTTAGGGACCATCCAGCCTGTGTATGGGGCCACCCACCCATGTCAGGGGTCTTCCCAAAGATGTAATGAAGGAACCACATAGTTTTATGGCCCCTTCTCATTGAAAGTTAGGGAAGTTCAGGTCCCTTAGTCACATAGTGATTCATCTGGGCCATCTAAAGTTGGTTATCTCATCTACCTCTATAGTCAAGAGAAACAAACTCCTCCAGATTGCGATTCATCCCACTCATGTCACCCGTGGGTCTCAGTCTAGACTGTTTGCTTAGCCCAGCCAGCTGACATTTGGATGGGTGAAGGAGGGGAGAGGAATGCCCCTTCGTCACTGCTGAAAAATGTGCTTCTGAGCTCGTTTTTCTTGCATGGAATTGAGGGAGAACATGCGATTCGCCTCTCTTCAAACTGCAAAATGGACTTGAAAATAGCCCCTGTGATGAATCGGCTTTAGATTGGATTCTCAGCTCATTCCTCTCATTCCTGAAATTGCTTAGGTGAAAGGCACTTGTTTTATGGGCCTTTGATCCAATTTAATCATGTTGAAACAAGTGACTCATGACATTTGTATAATGGGGTCTGTTGCCCCAGCTCTGAAGTCTGTTCAAATGTAAATGTGAAGCCTTTGAGTCCAGAGCGGGTTTTCTGAGGATGCCAGCCCATCCCTGGAGCCTGTTTCACTTCCCTGTTTAGCTGGAAATGACATAAAGACATTGTAGCTTTGTCACTAGTGGTTTCAGACAAGTCAGTGGGTGCTCTGTATGTGTAATTAAATCGTGAATATTCATGACTGAGGATAACAAATCTGTTATTCTTCTTCTGGTTGTAGCAACCACAGGGAGTTTGTGACTGGGCTGTGCAGCGAGGACATCAAACAGGCCAGCAGGCTCCTGCTCCGTAAGCTCTACCTGCTCATGCAGAACCTGGGGCCACTGCCCAATGACATCACCCTCACCATGAAACTCCTCTACTACAACGATGGTAGGTGGGGCAAAATTCCCTTTCCATCAGTTTCTGTAAGAAACGAGCCTTGTAAAGTAATTGAAGCACAAAAAGTTGAGATGGGAGCTCTTGGCTGATAACAGTGAGAAATGGTGTAACACAGTAAGTCTGAGGCACAGGGATGGCAGATGCTTTTTGAGAAAGGTGTCCATGTAAGAGGTACAGACATGCACTGTGAAAGGAAGACATCCCTCTTTCCTGGGTTTTTTTTTGGGGGGGGGGGGGTTGTTTTTTTAAGGAACAGGCACTGTCAGGTTCTGCTCCAGAAACTGAGCACTTAAATGGTATCTCAGCATCCTAAAGTCATTCTTTCTCTGAGCTCCCCAATAACATTTGCTCAGCTCATTTTCCCCTTTGCATTCTCTCCCTTCCTCCTGAAAAAAAACAGAATATTTTTAGTAGTTGATGTTGCTCAAGGCTGGTTCACACTTGTTATTTCTGAATCAGATTTGGGAGAGCTGGAACTCGGTTTCTCTGACCCCAGTGGGTTCCCTCTCCCTGTGCAGTCACTCCCAAAGATTACCAGCCCCCCGGCTTTAAGGAAGATGCCAGCCCTGGTGACCTGTTGTTTGGAGGGGATCCTGTCAACCTGAGAGTGGGCTCAGTCTCCACCGACTTCCACCTCATGAAAGTGAGAGTGATGACTGAGAAGAAGAGGGTGAGGAAGGCTCACAGCAAGCTGATCCAGAAGAGAAGCCCTACTGAGATCTCCCACCAAGGGTTAGACTGCGAGGAGGAGGAAGAGGAGGGGAGCACCAAGGTATAGAAATAGCTCTGTTCAGTTCTCACTGCAGGAACGGAGTTTATTTAGCAAAACCCTCCTTAAAAGAAACATTTTGAGGTTTATGGATTTACCACCTGGCCATATTTTTTAGACTATGCTATTAAAACAACACATCACCTGCTTTACAGAATCACCCTCTCCCTGTCAGCGTAGATTCAAGTGAGCATGAAGGGAACAAAAATAACACCCACCCAGGCAGGAACGTGGAAGCACCTTCTTTGTGCCTTCAAGATACAGGTAAATATCCAGTTTTGAAACTAAAGGGGCTTCTGCTCCTGACTGTATCCCAGCATAATATTTAGGTTTTCTCACTCACGTTGAAATGGATAAACTGAGCTTGTTTGAATTTTGTGTCAGATCAGCCTGAACTGTACTGAAGGTCTTGTGTAGGCTTGGTTTGTTAACAGAAACATTTAATTTTGTATCAGTATCTTCCCACCTCTTTATCTCAGCAGTTTCTTTCAGATATGGAGGAAATGGTCAGATCATCAAAACTGTGTTACATTATCTCCATGTTCACCAAAGGTCTTTAGCTGTTACAGTTTGATTTTTGCTAATAACTTCCATATGTGAAAATACATGAAAGAAAAGCCTCTTCTCTCCCTTCAAGTATCCCAGCCTCTGATACACCACGCTGTGTTTGACCTTTGAGGCTCTGGGATATAGCCTGTGGAACAATACCACCTAGTGACAAAATGGTAAATAGCATTCCTGGGATGGCCGGGCAGCAGGATAAAGCAGCTTCTCTGCCTGTGGAGTCACCTTTGCAGGTCTTTCTCCTGCGGGTTCTCCAACAACTAATAACAACTCATCCTGCCACCTTTGGCACTCTGGGGATATGAACAGGATCCTCCTCCTCTAACAGTTGCCTGTTCTCATGAAACTGAGGTGCTTTGGAGGCCCCCTCAAATTTTATTGAAACTGTCTAAAAGGTTAATAATTAGTACCCAGGGAAGATCTCTCCTCCTTTCCCCCACCCCTCACACTTAGAGCACAGGCTCTAAGTTTGTTGCATAAGCTTTGTTTTCTTAGAAACCAGGTTAAAATGCAGTTTAAGTATAATTGATAGAGGTGCTGCAAGCTGATGTGATGCGTGTTCAGATGACACTTAATTCTGACACCTTTCTGGGAATAAACTGCCAGTGCTGGCAGTTCCTGGGAGCAAAGGTTACACAATTTCATGGAATTTTGCCCCAGTGGTTTAGTCAGGCTTCTGGATTGGTTTGGTTTTTTTTTTTTCTCCAGTTAAACTCTTTAAGTTAATTTTGCTTTGCTGTTTGGATTGCAGGTAGAAAGAAGAAGACAGGAATAAAAGAGACAGGCAGGATGCCTTGCTCAAGGGCATCCCAGCAGGTGAGGAAACTTTAGTGGTTCCAAGATATAGCAGGGACAGTGGAATTCATTGCCAGGGGTCATTGTGTCGTTGAGGATGCCACGAGATTCACTAACATTAGTGGATTTATGGTGCAGGATCACAATACATAGAGGCTACAGAGTGTTGGGCCAGAGGGATATAAGCATGAAGTGGGAAGAAGCTTTCCATGATCAGCTTATTTCATACATCTAGTACCAGAAATGGGTTCTGTTCCCTGGAGTTGGCACTTGTGAATCACAACACAGACTAAACCCATCCCTGTCCCAGCCACGCTGCTTTACCTGTGTGTGGGTTTGGGTGAAGGATCTGAAGTCACCACCCTATTTTAGGTTTGTCTGTTGCCCTACATGGTCTTCACCTCTCCTGTCTTGCTTCCAGACTGTCTTTACCTGTGAGTCACAAGTACTTACTGAATCCTATCCCTTTTTGACTACCTCTCTGAGATAGGAAGAATTATCCCCTGGGGGTACTGATCTCTCTTTTGGTGGTTGTTGGGGCAACCCAAAGAGCTGGGGTAGGCCAGACATGTCATCTTAGATAAGTGATGTAAAGTTAATCCCATCCTGAGGGCTGCCCAGGCCAAACCCTGAGTCACAATCAGAGCCCGAATTCATGGGCATGTGCAGAGGTTTTCTCAGTGACAGGGCAAATCTCTGAATGCCACCAGCCTTGCCGTTTGATCCTTCTCCCATTCAAATTAGTTGAGAATCATGTGAGCTTGAATGGTCAGAAACTGCATCTTTACAGGGTAAGTTAACGAGAGTAGGAAATTGCTACTAAAATTTTCCCCGCCTCTGTTGAAAAGAATCCCGGGGTGTCTAACCCAGACAGCAACTGCAGACTGCACTCACCGTGTCATTCCAAAGGCATCTGCGAGGTATTTGCCTTGACTCTGGATCTTAGAAATGAACTTCTGTGCCTAGGCTGGTATTTTTCAAACTTTAACCACATTTTTTTTTCGTGTCACATCCTCCGGTTTCCTTCTCATCATTGTTTATTCTGTCGTCTGTGTGAAAACAGGAGCCTTTTTTGTTTGTAGCTCATGGTTGTCCCACTGATTCATGCTCTGACCTTCTTTTGGGGCTGTCACGATGGTAAGCAGAGGACCAGACACTTCTCTCTCTCACTCTCAGCATGTGAATTTCATTAAAATTCGGTAGCAGGAGTGAGAGTGTCTGAAGGTGGTGGAAACAGCATTAGTTGCTGAAAAATGGAAGGATCACTTTATCCATCATATGCTTCCAAAGACTTTTAAAAAAAAATAATCCCGAGCCCTCTGCCTGGTAGATTCTGCGTGGGAGAGGGTTTTCTTAAAAGTATTCTTTGATACTATTTTTAAAACCTCATTACTTCGAAGCTGGCTAATATTTCACTGGGTTTAGGGAAAAACAAAGTCAAGGCAGTAGTTAGAATCATCACTGTAAAACCTGTGCTAATAAAAATTTGACACTCTTTTCCATATGAGAGGGACTTTCCCTTCTTTTCTGAAGGAAGTGGTTAAAACAAATGACCATTGTGTATTCCACTTGAATCAGGAAACCAAGCTGATGAGTGAAGTTTGTCTTAAAAAACGAGGAGAAGCTTGGGTGGATGGGAAGTCTGAGTTAGGTGTTATCTGACAGGGTCAAGTACAGGTAAGATGGGTTGGAACAGACCTGTTGGGCTGTGAGTGTGAACACCTTGTTGCTGTCCAGACACTATTAATAGTGTTTTCCAGCTGTTGGGTTGGGGTGTGGATACCAAAATTTTCTGAACTCACCAAAACAATTTGGAGTGTCCCAGAAATAGCTGTCTGCACAAGGGTTTGATATTCAAGAAGTTCGAAACCGTTACCCACAGTCACAAGTTGCTTCTGGAAATGTGGGTGAACACATTTCTGCCCTTCATCTGGAGTGAATCCTTCTGATTCCTTGGTTACCAAAAATAAAAACTGTGCTGTTGGAATTGAGTTTATTGGTCACTATCTTCCTGACCTATAGCTCTTCAGGAAAACCAGGAATGAAAGTATTAAAGGCTTATTTTTATCTAATCGACATGGGAGAGGCGGAGGATGCGGATCTGCCAAAAGAGGAGCAGCTCTTCCTGCCCAGTGAGAACTGGAACTGGACTTTGGGAATGGCCACGGAGAGTCTCTGGCAGGGCTTTGCAAATTGGGGAAAAATTTCCATGTACTCCACTGGCTTGTTATCTGCAATCTCATGATTGATGATCCTTGAGATCAAATGAGAGATTGCCCTTTTCCAGCAGAGCATCTCTGTGCTTAATCATCCGGAGTTAGACACCAGCATGTAAATTAGCCCACCTCTGCTGGCTTCAAGAGTGATTGCATCAGCCAAGGATTTGTCCCCCCGTGTTATGTTTGTGCATCTTCCTATTTTTCATTGGAATTCTAGGAGTTGGGAAGAGTTGGGGAAAATAGGGAATTGCTACCCATTGGTTTAACTTGTAGAAATCTGCTGATGAGAGTGAGGTCCTGCACTGACTTGGAATAACTTCTTGAGTTCTTCAGCGAACTCCTTTATCCTCTTGTGAATCCTTTCATGTTCTTGTCCTGAAAATTGGTTTTGGTCAGCTTTGTCTTCGTGTAAGCAAACATGCTGCAGTGGAATGAGTTTGGAAGGAAACAGAACTAGAAGATGAGTAAAATCTGACCATGTGAACGCCTCTGCAGGCTTTTATCTCCCATCAGGAAGCTGTGGGCTGAAGTTCTGGGGTGGTCCTTGGAGCACAGCGAGGCAGCCGTGCAGGGAGCCTTGGATCGCCCTGCGCCGGAGCCGGGAATGGTGTGGCTGGATCAGCACAGCACAAGGCAGCTCTGCCTCCCAAGTTTCTGGCTTCATTAGCTACCACCAGACACTGCTCCTGCTGCTACACTGGCCGTGCTTATAGACTGCTGTGGGACATGAGGAACGTGCTGACACTTGGCATTGTGTGGACAGAGCAGTTGGGATCAGTGCTAGCTCAGGGGTGTGCTTGGGAATTCTCTGCCTGCTGGAGCCCTGCTCCTGCCATGTGGATCAGCTCTGCTAACGGGAGCTGTCTGCACTGGGATGTCTGGGGAGACATTCATACCTAAGGGTTGTAAATCAGTGCTGGTTTAGCCCTCAGAGGACAGTCTGTCTGGCCTCCAGCTGCTGCTCCTTGGCTACCTGGCCATGGCCTCTTTCTCCAAGGGACTGTGACAGTGATGGAAGCCAGCATGGAAACAGAGTTTCATGGATGACACAGTAATACCTGTTGTGTTTGCCAGGGATCAGTATCCTGTTGGTGCCCAGGGTCATGGTTACCCTGATGGAGACCTTAGAGCCCCTTCCAGGGCCTAGAGGGGCTCCAGGAGAGCTGGAGAGGGACTGGGGACAAGGGATGGAGGGACAGGACACAGGGAATGGCTTCCCACTGCCAGAGGGCAGGGCTATATGGGATACTGGGAAGAAATCCTTCCCTGTGAGGGTGGGGAGGCCCTGGCACAGGTTGCCCAGAGAAGCTGTGGCTGCCTCTGGATCCCTGTAAGTGTCCAAGGCCAGGTTGGACAGGGCTTGGAACAACCTGGGCTAGTGGAAGGTGTCCCTGCCCTTGACAGGGGGTGGGAACAAGATGAGCTTTAAGGTCCCTTCCCATCCAACCCATTCCATGATTCCTGTGCCTCACTGAGCTGCCATGTCCTACACAGCTTCTGGCTGGAAGTTAAGGTCAGCACAAGTGGGTTCAATTGCAAATAATAGCTTGGAGATCAAGACCTTTGTTGTCTGATCTTTCCCAAGCAAAGCACGTCCAAAAGTGCCATGACAGGAGGCAGTTGAAGGGTGAGACCTGCCATGTGCACAGCAATAGTGAAACATTTTTCTGTGGCAATGTCATTATCTTGAACTTTTGCAGAAAAGAAAAAAAAGAAGCAAGGTTTATCTCTAACTGTCCATCAAGAGCTGTATCTGATGAGAAGTTCCCAGAACATTTTCTCCTCCAAACCAGCTGATGCTACACAGACCCAAGCAGTGAAGAGAGAAAGATTCAGAGATGAGCTTTCCTCTCCTTCCTGTGAGCTCAGGCCATTCTGGGAGGAGTGAGACAGGGAGGTCAGGAAATTCCTGGCTTCTCTCAGTTCACGTCAGATCCTCAGCTGTATCTTGGGGCCATTCATCCCTTCCATGAGTTATCCCTGTCTAGTGTGCAGGAAACAGTTTCCTAGTGATCTCTGAGTGCAGAGGTGAGGCCCATCACCCCACAGATCCGGGGAGGTTTAACCCTTGCACCCTCAAATTCCCTGACAGCTCCCCTGGGGACATCTCTGGGAAGATGTGGCGCTTCCGTGCTGGCTGCCATTCCATATATTCATACTAGCAACCAGACCCTCTGGAGAAATCCACATAAATTAAGGTTGGACAGATCTAATATCCCAGGAGGGACTGTTGGGTAGCAGCCTAGTAGGCAGAAGGAGTGTCCATGGCCTTTCTCCTCCTCAGTGAAGAATTCCAATGCTGGAATCATACAGAGGAAAGCTTCTGGGTTTGGGAAGTGGGTTGGATTGTGATCCAGCAATCAGAATGTCCATCATGGAAGACTACAGTGTGATTGAGGGCCCTGGAAGAGATTAGTAGGAGAGATAGTGATAATTTAGTCTTTCAACAGGTATTTTTTAAGCATTTTTTTTAATATTCTGGAAAAATCTGTTCATTAGTCCTTTAAAAGCTACAAGACATACGAGGTGCAGAGCGGGCTGTGAGACAAAGAGATGGAGCTGAATGGCAAAGGTTTGAGAGTGAGCTGAGGAAAAGGCAGGGGCCTGGTGGGAGTCACTGATGTGTTAACGTGGCTTCCTGGGCACAAAAACGTGTCCGGTTTCCACAGCAGTGCCACAGTGAGGCCCACCCGTGTCAGCTGTCTGTCCTGCTAACCAGCAGGAGTGTCCCCCACGGGTACAGAGATGAAAGTCAGGAGTAATTCCACTGATATCAGTGTGACCCCATTACTGGAAACTGATGGGAGCACAGTGCTGAGCCCACAGAGCTGCCTCTGCAGAGCCAGTGAGGCTGGGAGGGGAACCAGGGACTGAAGTGTCCAACCAACCTGCTCAAAGCACGGCAGAGGAACAGGGCTCGCAGGGCCTTGTCCACTCCAAGGATGGAGACTCCACAACCTCCCTGGACAACTTGTGCCAGTCTTTGGTTGCCCTCACGGTAAAAAAATAAGAAGTTTGTCCTTATGTTTAAATAGAATTCCTTGTATTTCCCTGGAAGTGTCCAAGGCCAAGTTGGACGGGGCTTGGAGAAACCTGGGCCAGTGGAAGGTGTCCCTGCCCATGGCAGGGGTTGGGACTGGATGAGCTTTAAGGTCCCTTCCCACCCAAACCAGTCTGTGGTTCCATGATTCTGTGATTCAGTTTGTGTCCATCTCCTGTCCTTTCACTGACACTGTGATGTGTCCTGTGAACTTTGATTTTCGCTGTGCTTGGGGAGCATGGAGCAGCCAGCTGTCAGGGAGCAGGTGGGAATTACTGCCCTCACCAGCCCACACCTCAGCTCTTAGGGGACCAATTTAAAGAGTCACTGGCTTGATTTTTGAAGTGTCAGGAGTTTGCTGTGCTGTTGAGTCAGTGGTAGCTGCAGTTGAAATCGCAGGATGCCTCAGGCACTGGGTCACTCTCATTCTGGTGAGAGTCCCCTGCATGAACTGTGTGTTGCCCTCACACCTGAGGGTCGCTCTGCCTTTTTTCAGCAGTTAAATCTTGTATCTCAGTCCTTATTCTTCCAGCTTGCTCGATGGAACTGCACTTCTTTTGACATGAATGTGCTTCTGAATTTGTCGGGGTAGTTACAAGGTACCAAACAAAACCCCCCGTGTCCCGGACAAAGGGAACATTTCTGAGGGCAGAAAATTTGCCAAGTGCCAAACCTCAGCATGAGGCAGGCTGGGGACAAAGAGGGACACAACCGAATGCTCTTGTGCAATTTTAGCTGCTCTGCATAAGGATGCCCTGGGAAGCAAAAACCACGTCAGGACAGGAGAGCTGTAAATTTGCCTTGATTTATGCTGGGAATTTTCGGCTGGAATACTTGGGGACACTGGGGATTGCAAACTGGGTCCTGATTGTGTCTATCTAAGAATAGCAGTGTGGCTGTGGTCTGCTCATGCTGTTTGGTCCACCAGTCTGCCTTGGGAAGGCTTTAATCTAAGTCTAATCTATTTTTAGCCTGATATCTCCTCCAGACAACGCGCAGCTGTCCTGAGCTCTATGCCAGAAATTAGTAACACTTGTATGATTCACAAGTGAGCTGAGGTTCTACAGAAGAATTCCTGCTGCAAAGTGTTACTTTTTTACACGTACTGTAAAACAGGAGATTCAAAGCCACTGTGTGTTCGTGGTATGACCCAGACCCTGAACTCCTCCTGGGACTCAGAGTCAGGAGGTCATGGATCTGTTCCTGCGTTTGCTACTTGATCTGGACTTGTCCCATCTGTCAGCATGGTCCCTGTGCAGGGTGGGCGTGCAAGAGCCTGCACCTTGTCCTACCTGCTTTTACAGCAGCTGGCTCATCCCTGGAGCTGGGATTGTGTAAGAGGAAAAGCAGCCTTCACACAGTGCAGGCTCTGCCATCGGTTATTCAACTCAAGCATCCCAGTGCATGGGAAAAATTAGAACTAATCAACTTCTGGAGGCTTTGATTGTATGTTTAGTTGATGGGAGGGATTTCCTGCTTCTCACCACACCGTTGAAGAGGTTTACTTTCTGGTTCAAGTCAAATAAACATACATAGAGTCTGACTTAATCTCATTTAGAGCGATGTTTCTGACGAAGAAGCTGGAGTGTTTGGTTAAGGATGGGAGCTGAAGTTGGACATGGGGTCTGTTCCCGGCTCCAAGTTCCTCCATGAACTTGTAGCTGGGCAGGGACAGGCCAGGGCATGTTGTCTTTGGTGAAATACCTCTCCCTGTTGACATCTGATTCACTCAGTAGATGAACAGTGCTTGTCTAGAGCCCTCGATGGCTTCCATGGATGTTTTCAGTCCTCATCACAGGTTCCTGTGAGGTGCTCGTGCTGCCTGTGGTCAAGGGCAGGAAAACTGGGGAGAGTTGGAGTGTGAGCAGCTGCTTGTGGCCTCAAAAGTATCCCATCCGTGCAGAAAATTTGGGAGGAATGGCAACGGGGGCAAATCTTCATGGAGGTGCTATCTGGGGAAGATCCGTTCCTCAGTAGAGGAAATAAAAGCACCAGCTCTTGCTAATGCTGTTTAGGCTAAAATAGGAGAGCTGCCTTATCCAGGTGACTGGGGCCGGGAGACTGGGAATCATCACCCTGCTTTGTTGTGTGGCCAGCAGGACAGGGACAAACCCTGCAGCTGTGTTAGCACTGCAGAGGCTCTGGATGCAGCATTTCCTCCTCTAGGCTCTTTCCTTCAAGAAAAGGAAGCAGACAGGTTAAAACCATGCCAGGGAGGGGAAATTAAATATCTGCCTAAAATGCCCTTTGGAGCAGCTGGATATCAGGTGAGGAGCTGCAGCACAGACCCACTCATCCCCCTGTCCCTGGGCAGCGTCGGGAGCTCTGTCAGCCCTAGTGTGCAGGATGAGGGAGAACCTGCCCAGCCCACTTTGGCACATTCTTGTTTTTAGGGAAAGGAAAGCGTACTTTTTGCATTAAGCAATATTGTGTTGCTCATCATGAAGAGGAGGGAAGAGGGGAAGAAAAACAATTTGAAACAGTCTAGAGAGGCGAAGGGGGGTTGCTTCAAAGTCTTTTGCTGTTAATCCCTAATCAGAGCTGTTTCACACATTAGAGAGCCCATTGCTATGCAGAGATTGCCGAAGCCTCAAGGTCAGAGGGAAAGCAAGCCCTGGTGACGTGAGCGGGGAATTCTATAATGACCACATCTTGTAATCTGAAGACCTTGTGCTCATCCCCACGATTCATCCTGGAATAGCTCTTCATTAACTCCTTGTGCTTGCCCTGCCTCAGTTTCAGGATTCCTCATGTTTTGCAGTGACACTGGAGGGAGGGACTCCTGCTCTGGGGCAGGAATTTGGTTAGCACTCCTTTCCCTCTCCATTCACCTCACTGTCATCCAAGTGAACTTTGTTTTGGAGGCGAAGCTCTGTGCTGTGGTGTGTCCCTTCAGCTCAGCTCCAGTGAGAGAGGTCACATTGCCAGACTGTGCTTCGTCCCTTCTGGGTGGGCAACAACACACGTTGCTCTCAGCGGCTCCAGATTATTATTGTAAAAATGCAAATATGTGACATGATAAGGAGGATAAGTGAGTTTGTCCCCTGGCACAGCCAACACTTCAGCTGTCATCCTGGCTGTCCATCTCCCTGTGGTCTGTCTGAAGTGCCTGTTCCATTGACTCATTTATATTCTCACATAGACTTATCTGTGTTTTTTAACCTCTTGGTTTGTAGGCTCAGAAGATTCTTGGTGGAGGTTTGTGTCTTTCTAGAGGGAAGTTAAGCCTTCTGGAAAAAAGCTTGCTTGGCTTAGTTATTTTTCACAAAGTCACAGGTGGTTTCAAAGTCTGAGATCGATCAGCTTGTGCTGAATTCCCTGATGTACAGAGGGACTGTGTGTCTCCTCCTTACAGGCTCTGACCACAGATTTGACCTAAGTGCCCCCCTTCCTTTCCATATGCTCTGATTACCTGAGGTTGGTGGAAAAGCCAGTGCCCTATCAGCTATTATATTCCTCCAAGACCTCCTTGTTCTGCTATTTTCTGTTGGCAGTGAGAAGGTGGGTCCTGTTCATGTGCCACCAAACCCATTCCCTGTGCCTGAAGCTGAACCTGTTGCTTGCACAACTCTCACAGTCCCACCAGTTCCATCCAGTACTCCAGTTTTGATTCCTTGCCTAATTGCTTTTCTGGAGAACAGGATCACACTGAACCAAGCCAAGAGGATCCAGGCACACACATGGCAGTTTTGGAAGCTTTACTTTTTGACTTGTGTAGCAGGAGCCTGCTCCGTGAGAATGATCCCTGTTTCTGATGGTTCTTGCAGATAAACCTCCTGAACCTTGCCTTTAGCCAGGAAGAGGTAACAGGACCTGAGAAGAAAAGGAAGGTCAGTGAACCAGAGAAGCTGCCTCTGAACAGCAGGAAATTATGTTCATTCTGACACAGAATACGTTTTGGAAGGTGTGAGTTTGCACTGTCATCTGACTGGTGCAGACCTTTCCTTCTCCCAGTGTTTAACCCTTCTGCGTGCCCTGTGTATTTGTGAATGTTTGTCTCGTGAAAACTCTGGATTGCAGAGAGACAACAAGCCCCATAATTGTCATGGCATTGTCAACAACCAGCCCTTGTTTGATGTTATGAAGTTGAGGATTTATAATTCTGTGCCAGTGGTGTCTGTGTGCTTCTTTCTGCCTCCTTCCCTCACACCTCCCACCTCTCACTGGCTAAATTCCCTCCTCTGGGGCTGGTGTGGCCTGTGCCACTCTGTCACCCATGTTGAATGGCACTATTTCAAGATGAACTCTGAGGTGTCAGTGCCAGAGAGCACCAAGTCTCATGACCCACTAGATTGTGCTTAACTCCATCCTATCTGCTGTTTCCAGAGCATAGATTTTTATTTCAAAGAAGGGGTGTTGTCTATATTGAGTAAAGAGATAAACCAATCTATACACATTTTCTGCTGGTGCTGGATGGGTTTTTTTCTAACTGTGCAAGTAGTGTTGCCGTGGCTGTATTATCAGCTCATTTCTAAACCAGCAGCCCACCATGTCCGAGGGGCTCAGGCAACTGTGTGATGTTAATTCTGGTGCAGTACACCCCGTTTAAAACCAGCTGGCATAAAGATCCCTTGTGTCTGCAAAATACAGGTAAGGAGAACAGCACCTGACAGGTATCTGACAAGCGTCCAGGGCATCTGAGTGAAGGACCTTGGCCACCAGGGCCATCACTTGGCACACCACGTTCCCTGTCACCATTAACACGGTGATGCTGTCCGCTGTGGCACCACTCAGACCCTCACACGTGAGGGCTCTTCCTTGCTGCTGGAACAGTGGTCTTTCCATGTCTAAAGCTACCAGGAGCTGGGATTGACACTTCTCTCTTCTGCTCTTACTCTGCTTGGCCAGAATGAGGTGAAAGCCCAGCTGGACCTGGCTGACTGAGCAGAGGTAATGCCCAGACCGAGCCCCCTGAGATTCCTGCTGTCCTCCTCCAGGCAACCAAGTGATGGATTGTGATCCTAATCCCACAACCGTCTCCCTGAAGCCCATGGCAGACAGACCCCCACCCATCCCTGAGCCCCCAGCAGTGTCTGGCAGTTTTCCTGGCCTGATGCCTATTTCACAAAACCTGCAGAAGATGGGAATTTTCCATTTTATCCTCACTTTCTCTCCTGTGCTCTCCTTTTTGCACCTATGGCCTAATAAGCCAGTTTGTTCACATGCCAGAGCGAGCTAGAAACCTTCCTTGTGCCCAGGCTTTGTGACAATGTTTGCTCTCAGGGCTGCACACCCACGAGTGACCCCTGCTCTGCACGGGACAGCTCCGGGCCTGCCGTCAGCTCCCGGCTCTGCCCTGGCACCGCTGGGCTCTGGTGCCACATCCCTGCAACCCCGACCCCTGCCTGCACTGCGGGCCCTGTGGTGTCATTGCATCCTGCCTGGGGATACTCAAACGTGGCTGGGATTTCAGCTGCTCCAACAAGGTTGTCTTCCTCCTCTACACACGACACCCAAGGCTTGGGGGCACTGGAACCTGCCCGGTGCAGACTGGGAGATGCCAAGTGTCCTGCCCCCAGTGAAAGCACAGCGAGGTGTCTCTGTGGGAGCACACACAGCCCCACAAGGTGCACACATGGCTCGGTGGAGCACACGGTGCCCTGGTCCCGTGGCCATGGCCGGGGCTCACTGTCTCAGCTCACGTTGGGTTCTAATCAGGTATTTTACGGTAATGACTTTTAGTCATTTTCATTTCAGGCTTGGTTAGAAGTAAAGTAAGTGGTGATGAACTGCAGCAGTAAGCGTCTGATTTTCTTTCCCACAAACTTGTGGTTACCATCAGATTCTAAGAAAAGTCTTTCCACTGCAGATTGGAATCATCTAAGTCACTTACACATATCCTTTTATTTATTAGCGATTCTGCTTGGTTGGCTAAAGGTGAAAAAACCCTTTTTCTTGTGTTTCAGTCGCATTTCTAGTTAATACTCATTAACTGACTTAATGTATGTTACACATCATCAACCTGATTCACTACTGACATAAAACAGAAGCAATTCGTTAGTAACGGTCCCCTGCCAATTAGTGAACTAAATTACGTTTGAACAATTTTCTTCAAAGATTCTCCTCCTCCCCTCATGCATCATTTGGCAAGTCCCCTTCATGCTTACAGTAATTGTGTGCGTGCAGTGAAAGGAGACTGGTACCTCTTCAACCCAAACAAATGAATATGTGATCCTGGCGCTAATGTGAGTAATACAAAGAACCCCAGACACCCTCCCTTTGATCGCCCAAAGATCCCAGCAGCAATTAAGATTAGGAACCGCTTAAGACCCCAGAATATTGGGAACATTCTTGAAGGAAAAAATGAATGCTCCTCGGGGTTTTTCAGAAAATCAGTGAAGAAGGGGAAGCCGTTCTCGTTTATCGCGCCCACGGGCTCTTTGATAGCTTTGATGTGGATATCCCCGACCTGCAGAGCCACAGGCAGGTCGGCCGTGCTTCTGGAAATCCTTCCTTGTTTCTGGGATGGCGTTTAACAAGAAGAGGTCTCTCTGCTTCAAACTGAAAGTCAAACTGAAGTCAAACGGAAAAGGCATCGTCTCAACCACATCCTTAAATGCACTGTCCTCGACAAGAAAATAACCCCAGCCCCTGGTGCTGCACGGGAAGCGGATGGACAGGTGTCAACATTTGTTTTTCACCTGAAAACAGGATTCTTTTGGGATTTCCAGTGCTGCGTGTGATCTAGGAAGTCATCTGATCTGATTGCTGCTGCTGTTTCAGTTTTGGAAGGACGGCAGAGAGGAGAAATGAAACATGACACAGGAGCAGGAGAAACAAAGATGATTTCGTGCTTAAAACAGGGGAGTTTTGTCATTGATTCCAGTGGAGTGTGGAGGGGCCTCTATCCATGGTGGTGAAACAAAAATCACTGTAACACTGTCCCAGTGAGCTGAGCGATCATTTTTTTCCCTCCAGTGGATTTTGGAAGCGATACCAGTGAAATGCCTTGGCTATACCTTGTTCTAAAGGTGATTAGAAATCAGCCAGTGCTTTCATGAGTGTAATTCCAATCATTAATCTTTTACCTGAGGGGCTGTTCCGTGAGATTACCATCTCGGGATTTTGGCTGGGACTCTAATTTTTGTAGGTTCTGCATTCTTCCTCTTGAGTCAGCAGGTAAAGTATGTGGCTGTGGCCTGCCTTTGTCATGCCACAGGGCTGCCATGCTTGGGGGGCCAAGGTCCTCGTGCCAAAAGCATAATGTCACCCTCCTGGAATCCCACCCACGTGTGTCGCCGGGCAAAGTCTTTTCTGTTAATGGATGAGTAAAATTTCACCAGGCTTTTGTTGTCATCACGAGGTAAGTAAGAGGGATTTGCATCTGAGCTGGCACATTTTCCATAATCAGTTTTCCAAGGCTAATTTAAGTCTGCTGGCACATAGATCTTTCCTTTGAGCGGAGGCTGAGATTCCGAAGGCTCACAGGAGTTTTCCATAGGAAACGCCACCCTGGGTATCCATGTACCAGACGTGCCTGTTTGGCATGTCCTGGAGCATCAATGACCTACTGTTCTGATTCAGGATTGTGTGAATACCTTGCTGTGGAGTTGGTTTTGTGCTAGAAAAGCAGGAATGAAAATACTCTGGCTGTGATCAGTGGATTCAACACTCCTATCCCTGGAAGCGTTCAAGGCCAGCTTGGATAAACTTGGAGCAACCTCATCTAGTGGAAATGTCCCTGCCCATGGCAGGAGGTAGAATGAGATGGACTTTAAGGTCCCTTCCAACCCAAACCATTCCATGATTCCATGATGTAACATTCTTCAGGAAGGTTCATGGGCTGTGGCTGTCAAGGAAAGCCCCCACACCTGCCCTGCAGGGCTTTGAGCAAACCCCAGAGGGAGAAGAGGGATGTGGTTGTCAAATACAAGGTACTGGTTTCTTTTCCAAGCATGTCATGATAGATTCAGTTCATGCTACTTGTGTTTCTCTACAGGACGTGCAGCGAGGGGATGTTTACTCTGATGAAAGTCTGGGCTTGATAACAGGAAACCAAGTCCTTTGTGCAGTAAATTGACCTTGAATCACACACAGACCTTTTTTCAGTAACAGAGTGTAAGACTGTCTAAAATACAGGAAAATGGTGTCCCTAGAAAACAAAGTGGCATTTGGAGCTGGCGAGAATGTGCCCAAGGCTCTGCCAGCCTCAGCTCCCTGAATGTCAGCGCGAGCAGGTGGGGCCTCGGCAGGAGAGCCGGGGGCACAGTCGCCTTTTGTCCCTGAATACTTCTCCTTCAAAGTTCAGCCTAGCCAGTAAATGGAAGCTGCATGTCCCTGTGGGTGAGGAGCAGCTCTGGGATGTGGGAGGCCTCGCTGTGGGGGGGTTCAGTGGTTTGGGGAAAGATCCCTCCCTCCCAGTCCTCCCCCACACAGAGAGCGCTGGCCTTTGTGGCAGGGGCCACCTCAGGAGCCCTGCAGGAGCTGCTGGTAAAGGGTTTTGATCTTGTTGGATGTTTCTAGGTGCTTCCTCAGCATTAATAAAAAGAGTTACAGGATGCAGTCCCATTAACATCCAATCATTCCAGAGTGAGGGAACTCTGCTTACATGCAAAAAAAGGTTGTATTTTTTCTCTTTACTGTTCCACCCTGGCAAGTGAGGCCTTTGTTGAGCTCTGCATCTGTCCTTTGCTACACCTCTCCAGGTGTGGTATCACAGCACGGGTTGGGTTGGGAGGGACCTTAAAGCTCATCTCATCCCACCCCCTGCCATGGGCAGGGACACCTTCCACTAGCCCAGGTTGCTCCAAACCCCGTCCAACCTGGCCTTGGACACTTCCAGGGATCCAGGGGCAGCCACAGCTTCTCTGGGCAACCTGTGCCAGGGTCTCCCCACCCTCACACACAACAATTCCTTCCCAGTCTCCCATCTCTCCCTGCCCTCTGGCAGTGGGAAGCCATTCCCTGTGTCCTGTCCCTCCATCCTTTGTCCCCAGTCCCTCTCCAGTTCTCCTGGAGCCCCTTTAGGCCCTGCAAGGGGCTCTCAGGTCTCCCTGGAGCCTTCTCTTGTCCAGGTGAACCCCCCCAGCTCTCCCAGCCTGGCTCCAGAGCAGAGGGGCTCCAGCCCTGGGAGCATCTCCAGGGCCTCCTCTGGATTTGCTCCAGC